AAGGCATTTGTGGGTGTTGTGTATTATCCCAATATTAGAGAGAGAATTCAGTTATATTTTGTATTTATCGATTGCAATCATGCTCAACGTTGAAAATGTACTTGCTTCAAATTTGGTTTCAATTTGAATGTAATTTGTTTATCATATGTAAACCGCGCTGTCAGCGCTGCTTGACAGATTTTGTATCATAGATAATTTTTGTATTTTACTTATGCTTATGCCAATTTTTTTTCAAATGAAAGTTGCAAGCGCAGCAAAGTGATTTGCGTGAACAGTTAAATAGTTGCCAAGTTCCTGTACCCACGCCGAGAGACTAGAAACTAGAAGCAGTGAATGGGCACCAGTCTAACGCGGTCAGTAAAGCATTCACTGTAAAAACAGAAAACCCAGTGAAGCATATTTTAAAATTGCCCGGTTATAAATCCCCCCACCCTACCCCTAAGAAATAAGAAATAAAATAAAGTTGTATAGTAATGATTTTGAAGCTTGTTGCTTCTTATTTGCGATTTTGGTGTCCGACTGGCTTATAATGCGGGAAAAGGCTCGAATTTTGTGCGCTCAAATGACACGGAGGTTACACCCCCCGGGGAATCCCAGATACAGTAAAATTGACGGGGTTATCGTCGGAAATTTTGAAAGGAACCCCTACAAGGTGCCAGGGCGTGGCACGAATTAATTTTCACCCCTAAGAGGAACCAATTTGGTTCTTGCCATGTTTTCCACGCGTGTTTTCAGAAATTTGTGAAAACACAAGTGATTTTGCGAGGAATCGTGTGATAACTTGTTGAGGCTGCTTACAGCAAGGCGCCCAAAAGTGTGACCACTTTTAATTAATTCACTTTCTTTCGTGCGCGTATACTATCCAATCAGAAGTCAAGGATAGCTATTCTTCGGCTTCTGATTGGATAGTCTGCACATACGATAGAATGTGAATTAATTAAAAGAGCTTAAAAGTGGTCACACTTTCGGGCGCCTTGCTGTAATAGTGTGATAAAGACATCGGGTGATCTTCGGAAATGTTCGGGTCATCTTAGGCAATCTTAGGAAGGGTTCGGGTCATCTTCGGAAATCGTTGGTATTCTTCGGGTCAAATTTGGGAATCTTCGGAATAATTTTCCTCTGGGCAAACAAAAGTAACGAAAAATGCCCTCGGTCTAAACCAATCAGAATTCAGTAATTATGCCCTCTATGTTATTTTAAAAGTTCCCCCGAGAGCTCAGTATACGTAAGAAGTGCCGGCAGGGGGGACTATCTACAATCGTCGTCATCATAACTCTTAGGACATTTCAGCTTTTCGCCGACTAATGGTCTTTCAATCTTCCCCTCCCCCAATGTACTGTTGAGTTTTATCCGTTCAACCATATTTCAACATTATGCGACCATATTTCAACATTGTTTTCGGGGCAGGGAGGTTCGAAAAATTTAATATTGACTTCTCATTTGAAACGACTTTACCCCTGGATGGTATTTAGTCTCCTCTCTGGTATTTAGTTAAAGTGTCTCAAGGACATTTGACGACAATTGTAGCCTCAGGTACAGCCATTTATAAATATCCTCGCGCCCGCCCCGCGATGGATTGAATGACTCTTTGTTGTCTTGTAGGAAAAGAGAATGATTGTATATCGCTCCATCCAGAGGTAAATATATTTAATCTGGGTAAAATTCTGAGCTCGTCTGCAGCTATATTACTGGATCAATACATGATAGCGTGAATATCGAGCCTCAGTGATTACCATGGTTAAATGAATAATTCATGTAACGAGGCGAGTGGACAATAAACCGGTGACTGAACAGCTGTTCGCTTCCAGACGAAAAAGCACAATGCCGGAGAGCGAAATAACAAGGATTACACGAAGCACAGCCAGGGGATTCCTCTCCAGAAACCCCCAGCCTAAATACAAGTACATCGAAGACCCGGCCGATGTTGTATCTTTGACGTATAAGAATCAGTTCAGTCAATTTAACGTGAAATATTACGAACTCAAAGTTACTGTCTCGCCGATCTTCGGTCGCTTCAGCGGCGAGCAAGTGGTGTTCCATTATGACTGGGACACAGTTAAAGTGTCTGTCGACAAGATCTTGGTTTACGTCATGTTTTTGCGCGCAGGGACTTCCCCGGAAAATGTTCTACGATTCTGTCTGAATTTCCTATATTCAAGCGACGCGAAGAGAATTTTAAGGTGAGGTGATAATTAATTTGTTTTCTGTCTTTCTGTTATTTATTTTATGTACCTCTGCACCCAAAACGTTGTTATGATTAAGAGAAAATGAAGGATATTCTGGCCATCAAATCCTTTAAATCCAAAAAAATATTTTACCCTGCATCGTGATGTGTGATTCAGTATTAAAGAAGCGAGAGCGCTAACGCGTACGGCTAACTGATGTTTGACCTTACATGATTAAATCATTGTTTTATTTCAACGGGTTTTTACATGAAAATAAGAATTAAATTTCGTAGGCTTAAAGCTCTTGAAATACACTCGTTTTCTCTCTAGTTTTGAAATTATAAAGTTGCTAACTGCGTGAAAACGCGTGAAAATTGCAACGCGCTAACGAGTGCTATTTTAAAAGGAAGACCTTACAATAGATTTGTTTACATCGAAGAGTCAACAGGTATTTCGCAAGACCAAACTGAATACATCACTGGATATTATGATGAGATGTTTTGATTCCGTGTCGTGTCAAGTGTGGTAAAGTATTTTGCGTGCAAACGATCAGTTCGTGAGAACGGTGAGATTTCCGCGGTAACGTGTGAGACACGTGCGCGAAACGCGTGTCTCGTCTCACGCTTCGCGCGCGCACCAGCACGCGTTCCGCTTGCCCTGCCCAATCTGTACGATTAATTTTCATCATCACGTTTTACCATCCTGTACCTGGTAGGGAACTTTCTGTATAATTTTGAGTGAGTCTGCATCTGAACCGCTGGGCCAACATATTCTGTATTTATTTCCACAGTAAACATGATATAAACGGCGATGAAGTCAGCATTCAGTCAAAGGTAGAGAATACACCTGCGTCTCTGGTAGTGCAGTGTTTGAGGTCAGTGGTTATCAACATGGAAAGCATGCCTAGGAATGAACTCCAGTATCTGCCCAATCCTTATCAAGAACTTTTTCTCCCGGATTCTTCTTTCGTTCAAACGAAATTTAACCTTTGGCCACGACACGTCCGGGGGGAAGCACTACTCTGATGGTAAAACAAGACATGATAATCAGCGAGATTCAGCTCCTGTTGAGACAAAAGTTACAGCTTGGAAGTGACTGGGAAGTGCATGTGTTTAAAAGGAGTCTTCCTTTGGAAGATGATGAGGTGTTTCAGGAAGAAAAAGGTGGCTATGATTGCGTCTTTACATCGTCTAAACTGCCGACGAACATTTCAAGTCTTGCCGCGCGGATCGGGAAGTCTCAGGAAGTCTTACCTACAACTTCTAATAAAGATGTAAGTATTACTGCGTTTTACTCCGTGAACTCGGCCGAAACTAATACACCTTGCATATGGAACATTTTTTTTATTGGCGTGAAATATTGAGCTTGCCAGCCTAGCAGTCTCTTCCGAGAACGCGAAAGGAAAGAAAAAAGCGCAAAACAGAGACATGGGCACGAAAACAGAGTAACCTGCGATCAGGCCAATTTTTTCGCGCGCATTATTCTCTTTATATACGGACGGTCGCGCTAAAAAGACGAAGAATAAAATAGAGCGCAGAAAGATTCGCCTGATCGCAGGTTAAAACAGAGGGAATAGTCGCGAAAGCAATGGAAAAACACAAAAACAGAGAGAAAAAGAGCGGGAAAACAGAGGAATTAGTATTTGCAAAGCGAAAAAGAGCGCGAAAACAGAGGAATGGGTGTGAACGCAAAAAAAGAGAGCGGGAACTCAAAGGGCAGGGTAGGGAGGCGACGCTATGAATTACAACATTTAACAGTTCCTATGAATTTTTTCAGGTTATTGTTGCATCACTGGTGGGAAAGGAAATGAAGGAAGTCCGTATAAACTTGTCTCTTCCTCTCAAGTTTCTGGACATACAGCTGCGTCAGATTTTTCGACTCAAGCCTTGGAGTTTCCTTGTCTTGTACCTTCCAGGCGAGGACCTTAACATATTTTACGCCGGAAGAACGATTTACACATCTTACGAAGAGGAATTCGCAAAATTTCTCATATCAAACGGAAGGAGAAATTTTCCTAAGCCAGACAAAGGCATCGAAACATTAGGAGTCAAAGAAATGTATAGAGAATGCTCCGTCTTCAAGAAATCACTTCGCAGTCTTGGCTTTCATCCGGGAGCTTTTGTGGAAGTGTTTGAAATCACTGGACCGAGCATCCCGGTCATGTACTCTGGCGCGGTAACTAAGGCTCAAGTGATTGACGTGAATCCTGATTGGTCGCTGCAGACATTTTTGTATTACGTCAAAGTGAACACTCCGGGAGCTTCAAAGATTGAATCTATCGACTATGTAAGAGACTGTAACAAAGGCACAGTGACCGAGATCTTGAGCATGATGAAAAATTTGTGGAATCGGCCTGATGAAGGAGGACGACTTGAATACCTGAGACTGCGCAGCTAAAATATAACGGTTTTTAGAGTTTATAGCATTCTCTTGGTGCATAAGAAGTTGCAAGGACAGATTATAACGACCTCGATCTCGCCCGTGATGTCTCGGTAATTTTATAAAATGTTATAGTTCGTACCCAGTGACTCATCCCGGGGGCTCGGCATCAATTTTGGCTTCCGTGGCATGAGGCGACTAGGAGTGTTGCTACTCCCCCTGGATAGGATGCTAGTCCATCGTACGTTACCCCCCCCCCCCCCCCCCCCCAGCAAGTTTTGTCAAGTTACTCTAAACAATTTACCGGTACTTATACTCATGGGTGGAGAGAAGAACTTTGAGTCGAGAGTAAAGTGTCTTGCCCAAGAACATAACGCGAGGACCCTAGCCTGCGTCACACGGACGAACTCGACCACTGGCGGTTGAATTCGTCTGTGACGCGAGCTAGAAGATACATGCCAGGCCAGGGCTTGAACCTGGCCATCTCGATCTGGAGTCCAAGGTAGTAACCATTATACCGCCGTGTCTCCCAGCCCTGGTGTAAGACTACGACTTATAAGGGGACAAAAAGAGCAAAACGTTCTTGTTTAATGACATTTACAATAAAAGAAAAAATTTGACTATTTTTTCCTGCTTTTCAAACGCTTAGACCATCCGTTAGGAGATTTTTTGGAGGGTTGGATCAATGGTCTGTAACAAAGGAATACAAACACTTATCAGTATGATGTGATGTAGCGAGGGTTATGTACAATATCAGCTAGCATATAGGTAAAAAGGTAAAGCCGCACTCGGGCCAACAACTGGCCCACACTGTCTGAACTTATCCCAGTTTCTGTAGCTTGAAGCCGACTATAGGAGTATTGCTACTCCTCCTGAATGAGATGCTAGTCCAACGCCAGGTTACCCCCAGCATTTTAATTTTATCGCCGGTACCCATTTATATTCCTGCATGGTGGAGAGAGTCGAGAAAGAGGCACTGTGACTAAGTGTCTTGCCCAAGCTAAGAACACAACATAATGACCACGGCCAGCGCCCTGGGGGGGGGGGGGGGGGGGGGGGGGGGGGGGGGGGGGGGTACTCAAAAAAGTTTTATACGGGGAGGCTCCGCCCAGAGGTCCAACCCCTTACCCTTTCATATACCATTTTTCACAGAAAAGGTACCCCTTTCATATACCTTCCATAGAAATTATGAAAATGGTACCCCTTTCACATACCTACAGTAGAAGCACTGCATCCCTTTTCTATACCCTTGTAATGAACTTAATGAACAATATATATCACCAGAAATTATCAAGCATTACCAGTAGAGATGTTAACCAAACAATAATATCATTTACTCGTGAAATCCCTACCCTTTCATATACTTCAACTCGTGAAATCCCTACCCTTCCACATACCTCGAGCCTAAAAAAGGACCCCTTTCGGGCGGAGCCTCCCCGTATAGTCCATTATAGGAAGTACCCCCCCCCCCCCCCCGGGGCCAGCGCTCGAACCTGGACCGCTCGATCCGGAGAAAACGATAACCATTAGGCTACCGCGTCTACCAACAAATCATGCAGCTAACATAAGTAGCCACCAAATAAAGATACCATGGATAGAGTTAGCCTCCTCCGCAGGCAACTCCTGGGTCTCCGGGATCTGGGGCAAGAAAGGGGCAAAAGAGCGGGCACTGGGGCCGAGGCGAGCGAAAAATCCTTCCTTTTCCTCTCTTCCTGTCCCCCACCCCACTCAGTCACCTTTTTGTCCTCCGTACCAGTCTCTCACTCGTGCCTTTATGTAAGAGTTGCCTGCGGAGGAGGCTAGGATAGAGTGACAGAGAGAGATCTAGAGACGAAGGGAGGGAGGAGTGAATACAAGGGAAATTCATGAAACAACGACATATATGCTAGCTATTTTTGTTTGGAATCGACAGAACACTTACAGTGCGACTACTCGAAGCGGGCCAGTTTGAAGAAAAGTAACCTCAAAACGTTCATTGAGAACAAAGGATGTCGACCTTTTTCGTAAACTGACCAATAGCGTTGAAGCATACAGACAATAGTTCTACAACAAAATTTGACACCAACAAAGTGCGGACCTCTCAGGAAACCAAGAACGTTTTTTCAAACCGGCCCGCTTCGAGTAGTCGCACTGTAAGCGAATGTTGTTTCATTACAACTTAGAAGAAATAAATTAAAAACATTTGTGGCAAATAATTTTACCCATGTTGCCGATTTTGATAGAAAACAAAGCGTATCCACGGCATAGAGACACATCACAGTATAATATTTCCAACTAGCTAAATCAAATCGCATCGTCAGTGATTACCTTCTAGTAGGAAACGTTCTTGGCATCTTGGTCCTTCCGGCTCGTTTGGCTCAGCATTTGTCGTCTTGTTCACTGAATTAGCGCGAGTTATGTTCACGGTGTTGTAGAAGCGATCGCAAAATTCCTTTCTGGAAGAGTCCCAGCCTTTGGTGAGCCCGACAAATATGATCTGAAAAAAAATGTTTTACAGTAGTTTTTTAATTTATTTTAGCCAAATTTTTAGAACGCTCAAATGTATTTGCTTCGAGTTCTCGTCGGTTCGTTTTTTGTTTACGTTTGTTGTGATTGGTCGTTGGAATTGCTTTGGTTTTGGTTTTACGACACTCAATTGAAAAACCGCTCTAACTCTGCTATTGGTTTAAAATACTTGTGCAACCTGGTCCAACAAAATCAGGTAAAACATGTTTTTTTCTAGGCCAATCAAGAATGAAACCAAACCCAATCCTGTATTGGGTTCGCGACTTTTCCCGCGCTTTTTCACCCGGTTGCAAGGTTTTACTGTGAGATCTGATTGGTTCATTGCGGCCAGATGTGAATACTTTATTGGATTTGATTTTACGACATTAGAAAAATCTCTCTATACTCAAGTGTTCACGAGTTAAAAGTTCTAATCAGAGTTTATGATCGTTACATTGTATACTTCTTTTCCAGTCAAGCCAGAAACAGAGATTGAACTCAGAGTTAAGGTCGGCAGTATACAAGTCCGATCCCCTGTAGTGTTTACACGAGGGTACTGGGGGACTGCAGGGACTTGTAGCAAGACTGTGTCCCAGGACAAAGTCCTTTGAGCGTACACACGAGAAGATCGACTTGTTGCAGGGACAGTTGGCCTTTGATTGGTTTATTTTCTAATTTGATCGCAGGGAATAGTCATACGAACAGTTCACGCGGGGACAAACACAATTTGAGGGGACAAGTTCCTGCGACTAGTCTCTTCAATTAAAACCAGTTTAATTTAATGGCACAAGTCGCAGAGACCAAATATTGGTCCCCGCGACTAGGGAAGGGTCCCCGAGATAGCAGGGACTTGTTTCGGGGACAATTGCAAGTTCCCTCATGTGTAATGAAGGGCCAATGTTTATGAAAACTGGAAACGAAAATACCTTTACGATAAGAGTTGCTATTATCAAAACAAGTTCCACTATTGCGATAACAGCCAGTGCCGCTGACCAGTCATCGTTGACTCCAAACGATGCTGCAAAACTATTCCTGGCAAGTTTACCCAGCATGCTCTTCACGTGTTCACATTCCTCAATTTCACCTGATAACAAGAACAAGGCAGGTTTGATTATCATCGTCGTTGTATCGTACCTTGAAATAATTGAAATTCGCGATGTCTCTCTCCACTAGTTGATATTGTAGTCGAACGGCCACTCGAACCTCTCCATACGGAAGCGTTTCTAATTCGGACAACTACCTATTATGGACAGTTCACTGGGTCCCGGCCGAAAACCCACATACATTTTCATAAAAAAATAACCTCTGTAATAATGACAACTTTACCATACGGACAGCGGACACTATAACTCCGCCACATATAGCATGCAAAATTTATACAAAAGTACTTATTTATTACAGACAAACTCCAAAACTCCTGATTAACTGTTCTGTAATAAGGACACCTCAGCTCTAATACGAACGTGAAAGAGACATGATTTGTAAAATCTCACCGTCCATAAACTCAAACTTGGTCTTCTTCACAGGAGTTGTGACTTCACGACAGACATGGAAAATTTTAACAGAGCACTGTCCGCGGTAGTTCAGATTCGTAGCTCCGGAACTGTTAAGCGATAAAATGAAAAATACATAGATAGTAAAATATACCACTAACTCGCGAGAATAGCGTTTTAAGGTTATTCCATCGAAATAGAAGTTACACTGGGAAGTTTCTGAAACTTTCCCTAGTTGAACATTGTGATGTAATGTTTCAAAATATAGAATAAAAAGAATAGGTCACCAGCCTCGCGAAAGAGATATAATCGACTAAAAATACCTCCTAATTCCTTACAAAATCAACCAAAAACACGTATTTTTTCACGTTTCCAGTGATTATTAATTTTTCTGCACTGAGAATTGGTCTATACTCCTTGTATAAATTTGCGAAAACAAATGATAGGTCACCACGCTCGTTTACGAAAAAACGATCATTTACCTCTCTGGCGAGCATTGCCACAAAGAAAAAGCCGCCATGTTTTTAATGTGCGCGCGCTAATTACGCGCGAAATTATGCGCAGAAAGGATGCGCAGTGCAATACTCCACTCTGATTGGTCAACTAACCAATATTTTCTGCATAGTTCTCTAACCGTGAATTCAAACAAATTTTCAGTTGTGAACCTTTTAGCAGATGAAAGCTAAGAGTGTTTTGAAGGTCAAATATGAAACATTAATTTCTGTCAGTAACGGAGAAGAACACCGAGTTACCATTTCGGTCATACTGACGTTCTTCGCACTTTTGTTACTTTTATTTCCTTCTAATAAGCCCCCTCCGATAAATTAATAAGCACCAGGGGGGAATAAATTATCTAATCATACAATAAATCATCGCTATTAGGAGTGGTAACAAATGTAAAGAACTGAAAATCTTCAGAATAATTTATCACCCAAGCCGACATTGATCCCAAAGTCGTGTTTCGTAAATCTTTTTATCTGAACTGTGTGTGTTCATAACTTACCAAGATAACGGGAATTCAAGAGTCCATTTCTGGTCCTTATTTAGCTGCTTGTACATATCAACCCATTGCAGAGTCAATACCACTGGCTTGCAGGTAGAGTTGATAAGCAGAATAGAAGGCTGACAACAAACAGCATAGAGATAAAAATGACGAAAAAACATACAGGGCAAAATTACTTAATTCTGATCGTTTTAGACAAAGATTCTCCGAAGATTCCCGAAGATCGCCAGAAGACTTCTGAAGAGTGCAAAGTTGACCCGAAGGCTCCCGACGATTTCAGAAGACGACACGAACCCTTCCGAAGATTTCCGAAGATGACCCGAGGATTGCGGTTTTCAGAATTTGCAAATTTCTGAAAACACGCGTGATACGAGGAATCATGCGATTACCTATCAAATTATATAAAAAGCAAGGAATATAATTTAACCTACTTCTCCCTTGTTGTACATATTAATCTGTTTGGCTCTCAGAGAGGTTGACTGCGATACTGTCAGCTGACCCTTTTGATCTAAACACAAACCAAACATTTTCTTTTGAAAAACGTCAAATTTACA